GTTTCTTAGCCCTAACACTTAAACACAGAGACACTGAGAGTTTCCAGTCCAATTCCTTCAGCTGGCAACGCTGTTTCCACTGTGGACCAGGAACAGCCTGTATCTGGAGGCAGGAACTGCCATGGTCCTTGTGCCAGCCCATGACACACTGCCTGCCTGCTGCTGGGGTCTATGGGTCCAGCATGGAACTGAAACCACCTGTGGGAGAAGGGGAAGAAGTGGGAGATGATTTCTGGAGGGGTCCCCCCACCCCTTGCATGTGTCAGAGCTTGGGAACAGGGATGTGATGATCCAAGCTGGTTGCAGAGGTCCTTGTCTCCATGTTCCATCAGCTGCTTAAAACTGAGTGTCCAACCTCAGCAGAATTGAAGGAACAGCATTCCCAAGGGCTCTCTGTGCCAAAGGATGTGAAATGGGAAGAGATGAGTCAGCCTCTGCAGATCCAGCTGTCTCCAGTGGCTAGGAAACCAGCTTAACCCAGGCATGCCTGGATCCTTCTCCAGCTGAAGTCAGGCAGGTGAGATGTAGCCAGAGCCACCAAATTGGCACCTGAATGAATTGTGAGATTCAACAGCCAGAACAAGACCCAGATGGATCAAAAGTTCCATTTCCTTCAGCACAGGGTTATGGCAACCTTGGTGGCAAGAGGAGCCACAGTGGAGGTGCACAAGGACACCAATTTCCTCCCACTTTGAAGCAAGGTATTCCTTAGGGAAGTGACAAGCTGACCAGGGCCCATTATCCCTTCCCATGGTGACTGTATGGAATCCCATAGCTACCCTGAGAGCCTGCTGAGAGCTCCAGAAGACTCCTCCTGGTTGATATCCAGCCCAGACCTCAACTGGATAGATCTGACCTCACATGTATTTCTCAGAAAGGGACAGTGCTCAATGTGCAGGCAAGAAGGGAGAAAACATTGGGATCTAGTCATGAAAATACACTCAGTAGATAAAAACCCAACTCTGAAACAGGCACAAAATCCCTCCTGAGCCACCGGTGTCTTACTTTGATGGTGTTATACACACAGACAATTTATTGTTGCACAGTTACTCCTTGGCTCAGCTTTAGGAGGGGAATTTTTTCAGCTCTATTTGCCAGTGCTAATCCTTAAGAAGGATTTTCATCATTTGGCTTGATCTGGGAGTAGATTTGGGACCCTGCAGTCACCTTGTTTCACTGCTCTCTTCAGTCCTGTGGGCTGCGGGCCATGCTGTACCCCAGGGTATTCCCTGAAGTCACACAATGCCAGGATCATACGATCACAGCTTTTTGAGGACCTGAATTCCTCACGATCCATTAGGCATGGAAAGGCTGGACAGCCAGCAATGGATCTTGGGTGGTTTAAAACTCATGGCAAATAAAACATCATCAGCTGAAAGTGTAGTTTAAAAAATATTTCATTACTTTAAAAAGAAAGCACATAGAGATTTCCATTTCCCACTACAGCAACGAATCCAGAACTTTCCAATGCTGAGGCAGCTTTGTTTCCATAACTGCCTGGAGGAATGATTCCCAGCCGCACACACACCATCCATCAGGACAAGCAGGGATAGATTTCAATGGTGTTTATCCTCAGGACAGTCTGGGGGTTCACAATGACTGAAAAAGAAGGAAAAGAGGAGAAAAAAAGGATCAGGTGACAGCACAAATCTGGTGCCCACCTGCTCCCAGGGTCCTGGGAGGGCTGTGCTGGCAGACAGCGACATTCCATGGGGATGGCATAGACACCAGCTCCCAGAGCTCCAGTGGGACCGGGGCAGCCTGGTCAAGGCTTTACCATCCATTCCATACAAAACCAGCCATAACTTTTCCCTCTCTCAGAGAAGGGAGAGTCATTTGGCAACCAAAACCTGTCACAGGACACTGCTCAGGCTTGCAGGTCGGTGTGGTGACACATCCAATGTTAAAGGCTTTGGAAAGAGAACAGTATTGGTTCTCTGCCCAGGAAATTTATTGCCAGCAAGGTCCAGCTAACACAAGGTGCTGGACTGAGGGAATATTGAACCCTGGTGCCCTGAGTGCTGTGGGCACACTTGGCTGGGAGGAGGCTGGACCCTGAGGGCTCTGGGGACACAGAGAATAAGCCCCTTCCTCAGACCCCTGTGTCATGATACCTCCCCTCCCACATCCAGCAGAGAAGGAAGTTCTGGGTTCTTTCTCTCTTACTTTTCTTCCTCTGGTAGTTGTGCCTCTTCCGGAAGCGCATGTGGATTTTGGGCCATGACTCTGTCTTCTCAATCACTGTGGCCTCCACACGGACCAGGTCTTTCCTTAAAAATAAGTGTTATAACTTTTTAGTTATTTACATTCTCCTCCTACTGGGGAGCAGGGTTCTGGGGAAAGAGACACAGGGATAACACATCCTGCCTCACACAGCCCAGATCCATGGAAACTACAGTCACCCTGGCAGGAAGGCAATCTGCCAGGCTGTTGGCTTTCCAGGCAAAGCCAAAAGCTTCAAGGTGTTGCACCTGGATCAGGTGATGTGACAGTACACAGGGCAGAACTTCCCTGTCATGTGAGGGATGAGATCAGGCACAGCTGAGGAGGCAGGAATGAGACAAACCTGCAGGGACTTGTAGGATTGCAGCAAGATAAACTCCCCTGGCACATCCAGGTGATCTTGTGTTCTGCTTTGCTTTCGGTACAGGTTCAACCCACCCATGTCCCCTTCTCCTGGTCACCACAGAAGTCCTTCCTCCTTCTCTAAAACATCACAGACAGCTGGAACAAAATCTCATCTGGCTCACCTAAGGCCTGGAAAAGGCTCAGTACACAGATTCATCCCACTGTTTCTAGCAGGAAGCACAGCTCATGGCTGCTGGAGCAAGTCCCTTTCTCCTCCCACATGCCTCTTGTGCCTCCCACTCCTGGTCTGTCCTGCTTGTTTGCCTCAATTTGGAAGAGTAGATGGGTTTGCAGAGCTCTGAGAGAAGTCCCACCAAAGAAAAAGTGCTCTGGGCTCCCTAGCTGCTCTCTGAAAAACTCCAGAGCTGGAAAACAAGGTCGTGGAGGCAGGACCAGCTACCTGTGTACACAACTCCTCCTCTCTGGGAAGGTGAGAACCTCCAGCCAAGAGCCAGACTGAAGCTTTGGACAAGGGGGGGTTTAATCAGCAGCCACAATGAAAGAGGAGGAGCCACTCTTCCATGCACATCATTGCAGAATTCCATTAAAATCTTATTAACTTTGCCACAGGAAGACATTTAAAGACCATTTTGCTAACAAACAGCTGTCTGCACTTGAGGGGGGCAGAGGGGGAAGCCCATCCAGCCGAAATTGTTCCAGTGAGGTCACTGGGAGGCCAAAGGCTTTGAGACAGTCACCATCTCTCAACATCTACCCTGGGGGTATGACTAAATCAGAGACTGAATCCTGGAGGGAGGAGGAAACTGATATATTTGCAGTGAGTGACTAGCCAAGAAGAAAACAGACATAAAATAATGTAGATTTTAAGAGACCACTGGGTGACCCTGACGTCCCAGCTCCAGGGTGTGATCCCAGTTCAGCACTACTGAACCTCACACAAGCCCTGCAACGGTGGGGGAGAAACCAGAAAGCAAACTGCACTCCAGCCGTGGTTTACCACTGTAATTTGTGAGCTAAAATTTCAGGATTCAAAGCCGCCGTGCCCTGGTGAGTCCTTCTCTGTCAGACACTGCAGCAGGAACTGCTGGTGGAAGGCTGAAGCACAGCAGAAACCAACTTGCTGGTGAGGAGTACATGAACAGCAAAGTTCTCAGCTAAACAGAGCCCAAGGAAAAATAAAAATCCCTATCAAATGTTTTAGGTATGACTGGAATGTCCATAAAAATAAGAAGGGGGTCACACATTTCCCAGAGCCTGACAGAGCTAGAGCAAAATGTTTCATGGCAAAGCACATGGATTGGAGTTTTGCAGGAGGCAGGAAAAACTCACACTGAAATCTCATGGATCTGAGCTGGGATGAAAGCTGTTGTCATGAGGCAGAGAAAAAGACCCAGGCAAGCTACAACCCCACAGGATCATAACTCTTGGAGGTCATAATTCCAGCTGCCAAGCTCACTCCCTGCAGGACTGAATCCCAGCCTGGCAGTCTGGGACAAGAATAGGTCCAAGATCTTTGGCACTTCCACTGCAAAAATGGGCAGGTAGCAGGAGAAACAGCAAGGTTCATCCAGAGAAAAAATTCCCATCAGCTGTATTTTGTCTAGCATTAAGCCAATTTGTCATGGAGGCATCTTTCCCTCCACTCAGGTCTAACATGGTTTTGAGCCCTTGTGCCAGCCAGGGCAGCCAGTGACTTGGACAAACACAGAACCCAATGGATTCCAGAGCAGGAGCCAGCCAGAAGTTCCCAGAATAACCTCCATCACACGGATATGTGCTGTTGCACTGCTGGTTTTTTAGGGTTTAAAGGAGTGTCACCCTGGGAGGTATCAGTGAAACAAACCATGACCAGCTGTCCCAAACAGGACAAGTTTGGGAGGCTGAGCAGGGAGCGCAGCTGCGATGAAGTGTCTCCCACAGACAGTGTGAGCACTCCCTGATGTGTTTATTTATAAAACAACAGGAAAACAGAAGTCCCTTTGTTCCCATCCAGCCTCTTATCTCCTCTCCAAAATGTCTGTGGTTTAGGCACTGGGCTCTGTGAGAAGGAACTGCAGTACACAGTGCTGGAGACACCCTTTCCTTTCTCCTTCCCTCAGCCCATACCAGAGCTGCTGCTCAGAGAGAGGGTGGCATCTCCCCACCAGTCTTCACTCTGCCTGGCCAGCCTCCTCCTCCCACAGATCTCCCTCAGCCAAAGGCACTGGAGTCCAAGCCAACCCTGGCAGATGTGCAGCCTGCTCTGCTTCAAGCAGCTGTCAATGCTGTCCACACACTGAGAGCACCTGCAGAAACCAACAGATGGTTTGCTTCCTGTACTGGACCTCCTGGCTCTCCACATGCCAAATCCAGCACACACAGCTGCAAAGAACCACCCCAATACTACTGGATCGGAGAACCAGGTAAAGGAATGTGCTCCTAAACTGCCAGGCATGGCACATCCCTGTCTGCAGAACTTGGTATTTTGCAGAAATTCAAATAAAAGCCCATTTCTAGTCCTGATAATGAGATTCCCCTCCCTAAAACTTTCCACAAGTGCAATATCTGGCAATAACTCAAGGAATCCCAATGATCTGCTATCCCAGATCCACTTCCAGACTGGCAGCCCCCAAAATCCTGTCCAACAAGGGGACCACTGGTACAACTGAAGCCCTGTTACAACTGTACAAATAACTCCTAAATACCACCAGCCCTTGGTACCACAGGAACACTCAGCAGTGAAACCAACTGAAATCATGTGGTTTTCCTAACCTGAACCTACAAAGCCATCAAAAAATAATATTCAGGTGTCCAAGTTCCTACTTACCTGGTCACTCCCCTTTAGCCAGAGCTAAAGCCAAGACCTAAACACGTGGTTTACCCACTTCCAGAACACAGCCAGAGCTTCCAGGTACTCTGAGCACCTGCAGCACACCTTATCCTGTGTGTTTTTCCACTAAACCCTCTTGTCCTAGGGAGAACAACAGGTCATCACTTTGCTTCTGCTGAGCAGTAACACCTGGTCTACATCTCCTTCCTTCTTGGAAGGAAAAGCCTGAGCAATCAGGGGTTCTGTACAGCAAGTCCTGCAGCACTGGGATGGAGACTGCCAAGGGATAAACTTCTCCCAAGTTCTCTGATTGCTGGATTATGTGACTAAGAGGAAGGGAAAATTAAGCACACTCAAATTAAGATGAAGGCCTACTGGGGTAAGGCAAAGGCAAAAGGAAACAAATTAAAAACCCAACTCAAATTTTGGGATGGGAAAGGATCTCTGGGTTATCTCAAGAAAAAAAAAACACATTAGTGTAAGGAAGTAAAGATGTTGAAGAGCAAAATTTACTGCTAGTTTGTGCAAGGAAAAAAGATCCAGCTGAGGTGAATATCCTACAGTTACCTTGGAACTGGGACCTGCTGCTCTGTCCTGGCACTGGGGAGGGTGAGAGGCAGCAGAGGCTGATGAGCTGTTTTACTGGTGATTCTTTCAAAAGCCACAGGGCTGGGCAAAGAGCTGATAAATCCCAATTTCAGGGACTGCAGAGCCCTGAAGCTACAATTAAAACCAAAATTTAAGCTAATTCTACTTTATGAGACATCTTACCCCAGCAGTGGCCTTCCAATGAGTGTGAAGTCATCAGCACCAACCATCAGAACCTGGGCAAAATAAATCAGGCATAAATCACTGCTCATTGTCCAAGCAGAAATGCAAACAAGATCTTCCAAATTCTACAGCCATAAAAGAATCAAACTGCTTAGAAACAGGCCTTCCCACATTTCAAACTTGACAGTAACTCAAGGGGATGGTGGGGAAAGGCAGCTAACAGGCAAGAGACAGAGTCATTAGTCTTCCCAGAGGGCTCATCCCACTAAAACATACTGCAGAAGTATCTTCCTCCATGATCAGAACACACTGAACCTCTCTGTCCTGGCTCACCAACAGCTGTAAAAAGATATGGGAAGCAATCAGGGAAGAAGAATAACCTGCCATGTGTGGGATCTGAATGAGTGGCAGCTCCTAAACCACTGGATTTTTATAGCAATTGCTACAAATCCCAGTGGAGAAACACTTTCCTTATTCTCCTCCACGAGGCCTCAAGAGGGGCAATAAAGAAATGAACATCTGGGGGATTCACCACCCCACAGACTTGCTGTTTTGGGGCATTTCAGCCACCATCTAAAGGCCCAGGCAGGATGAGAGAGAGGATGAAGTGGGAAGAGGCAGCATTTCACAGTTAACATCAAGACTGGAAGAGACCTTCAAGTTTGTTGAGTTAAACCATCATCCAGCACTACCATAATGCCCTCTAAACCATGTCCCCAGGTGCCACATCCAGACCCTCCTTCCCCCCTTGAACCTTCTGGCAGCAGTTAAAACCCACAAAGAAATGGTCATGAGAAGTTCTGACTTTTGTTTTAGACAGATGTTGCAGAAAAATCCCCAAAGGGTTCTGGTGCTTAGGCAAGTTTTCACCTTCACTCCCATCCAGACCTTTGCATTCCAAGATGGCTACACCACACAAATCCCTCCTCTCTGTTGTACACAGGGATGTGGGACACAGCTGAGGACA